CCAACGTCGTCTACCGTCGAAACTAGCCAGAATTGCCCAATTGAAAATTCAAGACTCAAACCCTTTACACTATGCGTAGCGTGCCGTACTACATACCACTACAGCAACGCGATGATATGCAACCATCCACATTCAATCATGACTAAACCCAAGCGAGTGACCACCAGTGCATCCATATTCCCAACGTGTACCGTCGTTCCGAACACAGACAACCTTGGCGAATTCAAGACCCCAAAACTTCCGTATTCGCCGAAGAGCCTTAGCGCACACTTTCCGCGCCCACGTTCTTACGATTAAACTCACGTAAGGTGCGAACGCGAGATCGCTAGTCCGAGCGAGTGATCACCACCGCAACTATCTCCCCAACATTCCCCGTTCCAAACCCAGACATGTGTGGCCAATGGCCAAGTCAGGCTCCAGACATCCGTATTCACCGAAGATCCTTCAGCGCCACTTTTCTTGCCCATTTTCTTACAATTAAACTCACGTAAGGTGCGTGCGAGTAATGCGGGCGAGTGAGCGAGTGAGCGCCAGTGCCGGTGTGCTTCTCGGTTTTCTGTCACAGATTGTGGCTTACGATGCGCAAGAGATTGAGGTACCTCTAAGTATACTTGCATTTTCTAATGCCTAGTAGTCTACCTACCGTTAATACAATATACGAGCGGCTTTGCACGTGCCCAGACCCCCTCTACTCCTCCCCCCCCTCCCCCCCCCTCCCCAAAAAACCACTCCGGCAGCACGACAGGGCCGACATACCCCTTCCACCCGTCCTCCGCGGCCTTCAAAAACCCCGCATCATCAATCTTCTCCAGCCGCTCCACCCCCGTCTCCCCCTTCTCCAGCACCTCCAAACACGCGCCCAAGTCGCCGCCGACGCCGACGACCTGGCCGGTGCGCGCATTCACCAGCTTGCACTCGACCGTCTTCCGGGGGTGCAGCTGCGCGAGCAGCGCGCCGTAGCACGCGACCTGCAGCACGGCCTCGGCGGAGAGCTGCGAGGTGTACTTGACCTCCCACACGGCGACGGTGGCGGCGGCGGTCTTGGCGGTGCTGCAGATGTCGGGCCTGCCGACGACGGTGCTGCGGCCGTGGCGCAGCAGCCGGAGCTTGCGCGTGAAGCTGAGGCCGTCGGGTTTCTTGGGCACCCCCGCGGCGAGCAGCGTCGAGGCGATGGCGCTGGTGTGCCGCTTGTCGACCCACGTGTAGGCGTCCAGCGGCACGGCGAGGAGCTTGGGCAGCAGCCCGCTGGCCAGGGTCTGCCGCAGGTTGGCGGCGAAGAGAATGTCGGCGGTGGTGAGCGTTTTGCTGGCGAGGCGCGCGCGCACGGCGGCGAGATGCGCGGCGTACTCCGGGCGGGCGGCGCAGAGAGTCTTGAAGAGCGCGCTCTCGGCGAGGGTCGTGGGCTGGAGGTCCGAGGAGATGAGGTTGCAGCGGCGGTGCATGGCGTACTGGAACAGCGACGGGACGGCGGTGCCGGTGATGTCGACCACGCTCTCGAGCAGCCCGTGGACGTCGGTGATGGTGCTGGCGGGGGCGCCGCGGGGCGGGCGCGGCGCGGCGACGTTCGTGAGTTCCAGCTTGGACAGCGCGGTGCAGCGCAGCAGGTCGGAGCGGCAGTTCGCGAGCTGCTCGACCAGCCGCATGGGGTTCGCTGGGCTCGCGCGAGGCTCACGGGGCTCGGGAGGCACGCGGTGCACGACGTCCGCGGTGGCGGCCAGCGTGGCGGCCGACAGGAACGGCAGCGGCTTGGCCGTCGCGTAGTGCACGAGCGTCAGGTGTGTGCGCGGCCGCGTGACGGCGACGTGCAGCGCGTTGGTCGGCCCGTGGCGCAAGTCGTCGGGCCGGTGCGCGCTGTCGAAGCCGAACACCGCGACCGCTTCGCGCTCGATACCTTTCATCTGGTGGTAGTTGGCGACCAGCAGCTTGCCGTCGGTCGTCCGCGAATCGACCTCGCGATCGCTGGTGTCGCCGCTGGAAATGCTGACCGGCGTGCCGGCGAGCGCCACGGCGTTGACCGCCGCCACGATTTTGCTGAAGCGCGACCCGATGGTCGGCGCCGCGACCAGCACGTCCTGCGCGCGCCCGTCCACCGCCGCCAGCAGCTGCGCGATCTCGTCGGCGCCGTGTTTTGCAGGATCGCACACCACGTACCGCGGCTTCGGCAGCCCGCGCTCCGCTCGCACGGCCCGCATGGGTTCCTGCGACGAGTGCTGCATCTGTGCGTTGATGAACGCCACGATCGGCGCTGAGAGGCGGTTCGTCTCCGGCAGACTGTGCGCCGTCCAGCCCGGCACGCTGGTTGCGGCGCCGAAGACCGGCGCACGCGGCGCCTGCGTCAGAAAGCGCGCGTCGGCGTCCTGGAAGCCATACAGCGCTTGCCGCGGGTCGCCCAGCAACACCAGCCGCCGCGCCGGCAGCGCCGGCAGGTCCGCTAATACGCGGTCGACGAACAGCTTGAGCACTGGTGTGATGTCTTGCGCTTCGTCAAGCACCACCACATCGGCCTTCACGTCGGCGAGCGCGTTCGGTGTGTTCCCGGCGGTGCTAGTGATGATGCGCTTCAGCCCCTCGTCGGTATAGCATGTGGCGCCGTAGTGGCGCGTGCCGAATGAGTGGTACGTCTCGACGTCGATGTTGCTCAGACCCAACGCCTTGATGCGCGCGGCGGTCTCAGTGCGCAGTCGGCGGTTGTAGACAAGCACCTGGAAGTGCCGCTCCGGTGCGGAGAGCGCGAGCCACAGGATTGTGGTCGTTTTGCCTGAGCCTGCGCAGGCCGATATTATCAGGTTGTTGGACGTCGTGGTGAGCGAGGTGATGACTTTGGTTTGCGCGGCGGAGGAGGGCAGGAGGGGAGGATCGCTTGACTTCGACCCCAAGTTGCGGGGACGAGGGCCGACGGAGAGGATGTAATGAGCTGTGAGGGGGCGCAAGAATAAGGGACAGCCAGTGGCCGGGCGCCGGGGGAGACGGGGGATGCGGAGCGGTACTCGCATGACCTGAGAGGAGGTTAGAAGGTCTAGACATGGTAGTCAGGGTCTTACTGTGAAGGGATGAGGTGTAACTTGTGAATGTAGCTGGGAAGGAAGAGACGCGTTGATGAGAAAATCTGGACCATTGTCTATGCTTGACTAGTGAGTTTGTCAGAGGCAATGTTTGTCCCTTCATGTTACATGTTGCATCCAATCAGAGGTCGTCGATGCGCTGAACGCCTGCATGGAATCTGCGGACCGCTGCCGTCGCGGCCTGCGTGGAAGCGGAACCCTGCTTGCTACCCCGCTTTGTTGGAACAGTAGGCAACCGGTCAATGTCCAAGCATTCTTCCATACAAATTCTATAATCGCTCAGACGAATACGCGACATGGGACGATAAACGGGTGTACTTACGGCATAGCTGTGCGTGGAACGGGGTAATACCCATGAGGAATCCAATGACAGAAGGCGACTTTTGTACAAAAAACCTTCGCTCGTGTATTTGTTTGAGATGAACGTTTAAACGTGTTCGTTGTAAGATTGATTGTCCATAGAGAGGAACAAATGACCGGAATAACGGCGACAGGACGATGGGCCTAGGTGCCCAGCGCCAAAAGACCACCGGTGTAGCTGTGCCATCTTTACAATCTTAACTCAGCAGGGTCTTGGTAAACAAGGCAAGCAGTAGCATACTTCTCGTGTAGAAAACGGGCCATCGTACAGAATCATACTAGAAAGCAGATAAAACAATTCCACGTTAGAACCTTGTTATGAGATTGTATGGGGTTTCGTAGACTGACGTAGATGAACGTACCTCTCAAGCTTCCTATTGGGTGCAGGGCAGTCGAGTCAGTTCATCTGTTGCTTCGCGAACCGGCGATCTTCTGGTACTTCCAAGCCATGGTCTATCAGTGAACGGAGACTATCATAGAAGCGGTGGATGGAACGAACGACAGTCGGTTGAGACCTCGGTGCTGAACGTGTCGGAGATGAACACATGATCGCATCTGTTGTAAGGTGGAGTGTACTGGAAGAGAAATAGAAGAGCAGCAGCAGCAGCAGAAGGGCGGTGAGACGCTAGCAGGCCTTATCCCAGAGGACCAAGTCCGAATGGCCATCGGGTGTGATGTGACATCTTCAATACCGCTCGTACATATTCACGTAGCTGGCCGTCATTTCTGGAGATGAAATTACGATCCTGTTCGTTGGACGGTGAAGTAAACTGGAAGAGAGAGATAATAGAAAGAGAAGAGCAGCAGAAGAAGAAGTGTGATGAGACTCCACGAGACCCAAACCCACATGACGGAAACCGAGTGACCACTGGTGCAGCATTAACACCGCCAACAGTCATTATTCGCTTGCACGTCGAGAATAAATATTTCGTTGTTTGAAGTTATTGTTCAAGTAATCAATATTTAAGTATTGCTTTTCAACAGCTGCGTGGTGTTTGAATACAGCTTCAATGGTTCTCACCATCATGAATCCGCGGACGCTCCGAAATTGATGTGCGATGGTTGCCAAGAGTTGGGTTTCCACGACCTGGCAGACGCCATCTACATGGCTGCGATTAAAACGGCCCTGACACAATCAGATTGTTCCATAGTCTGTCATCCGTGTACTTTGGTCTTAGTGCGTTTTGGTGTACACACAAACAAATTGCGCTAGTGTCACGTCTGCGAGACTAATTGTTCCATATTTGTAGACTTGAGCATTTTTTCGATTGGGTATTGTGCTTGTTGCGCAAAACATATCATCGTCACGAACGCCGTCGCTGTGATGTTTGCGCAGAATCGCGGTCCTGGCCCGCTTCGGCGGACTGAACACCAGTCCGCCGAGTTTTCGGCCGACGAACATACACCTTGCGCCAGCTTCTATGGTCACGCCATCAAGTCTCAATATAGTAAAGACAGCCCAAGATCGTTCTCTGTGTCCCGTCACGCAGCATTGTAAGCTGTATCTCCTGTATCAACAACCAGCGACTTATTCCAGACAAGCATCTTATGTGCTGGGGAGCTGTTCTTCCTCATCGATCCGCTATGGTGTAGTGGCTAGCATTGGTCGCTTTCATTGCATTCGCGTGCATAGGTGCCGACTAGACCCGGGTTCAATTCCCGGTGGCGGAAATCATCGTTTTGCCCATCGTGCCAAGGTCATTTGCGCGCTCAGGACTGCGCAGGATGCTGTTGTCTCGAGGAAGTTTGGAAGGTGTGCGTCATGAAAGGTGACTCGCAATATTTGAAGAAGGTCGATAGACTGATTAAGCGCTACGCATGTAGTTGCTAGACGTGTGCGCGAGTCCCACTCAAGCCGGCTTGACGCTGAACTTGGGAAGCTCGAGTGGGCTTGGGAAGCCCGACCCTCATATAGATTTTAAATCTCCTCCCGAAACTAGGATTATGTATAGGGAGTTTTCTACTCCTTCTTCCATCCAAGGTCTAGCTGGGCCGCCGAATCTTTACCTCGCGTCCGGGTCGAGTAGAAATTTCTTCACTTGCAGACCGTATGCCCAGTGCAACCAACTCGGAAACTTGGAGTACCGGTCGAGGAGGGTCCACAGTGGCGCATACGCCTGGTGGTCCTCCATAAACCATGAAAATTAGTACGTTGGCGGGCGTTTGGTGAGGCTAAGCTGCCAGAACAAGTTGTGGGTGCGTGAACAAGATTCAAGACTAGGAACAAAAAACTTTCGATAAAAAGTTGTTGTAGCGGCCGCTGCGAGTGATTCATCTAAGAGTTGGTGCGGGGGTGCTCAGTACTGTTTGTTTCAGCACCAGGTATTGCACTACCACTGACTGCAGTATAATTTCCTTCTTCATTCTCTACACGGTACAACCTAATGAGCAGGACTAATAAATCCTTACTTCTTCCCGATCTCTAGGTACGTATGTCGCTTGAGGACAGTAGTCTCTCGATCAGCCGAGGTGCATTTTTACAACCCCTCGGTCAACCGGCTGCCCAAATAGTGAGCTTAGCCTACCGTTCGGAACATCTATCATCCGTATAATGCACCGAAAGTAGGCAAGCTTATGCTACGATTATAGAAACATGAACACAAGGCTTCCCGTCCGCTCAGCCCTATTTAAGCATGTTGTCGCCAGGTTAGTATAGCAATAGTTTCCCGTAATGGGATCCCTGGTTTCCCCCAAGCATTCATTGTATATATCGTAGACAGATTGTAAAAGGAATAAATCTCAATGGTGCTGTAGATGCACTCGTTATCACTCGTTAGCGCTGTTATTGACTAGCCACAATACCATGCAAGCGCCACTGCCGGGCTACACGTGAAACCCGCTGCATGCTACTCCACGGATTGATTGCTACTCCGCACGTTATTTGTGTCTCCAGTCGGATGGCGGGGTTCTCCGTGGTACTGCACGGAGTGATCCACGTATACGAGTACATGCCCCTGGACTGAAGTGCTGACGATTACGTCCTTCTTCAATCCATCACAGCCATACTTGTGATACATAGCATAGTGGCTAGCTAATAAGCGACAGAAAATCCACCCCTGGGAGGCGATCAGTGCGGTCCGTAACAGGTTCGAAATCGGACTTAGGCCCAGTTGCACGTCTTATCTTCGGAGACTAAACCGTGTACTATTTGCGCCAAAAGCGGAACTCGTATCCAATATCAAAGTGCCCTCATCCGCCATATCAACAGAGGGAGGGCCGAGTGGTCGAGCTCTAGGACCCGGGAGGTGGGGGCCTTGGCACTAGTCAGCGCTAGCTTGATCATTACGGGTTCTGCTTCAGAAACAAAACGCAACTGTTGAGGAGTTGGAAACGTGCAACCAAATTGCGCACCCTCGCCGTTGTAATGTGGAGTGCAGCACTCGCATGAATTGCGTCTTAGATTCCATCCTGTCGATGGATATCTATGCATGTTTCTTGTCCCCGCTACGGCTCTCCTGTTCGGGTTGAGACAGTCAGCAATGCTAGGACCGCGACCTCGGCCCTCCCCACGCCGACCTTCGGGCTGTCCTCGGCCTCCACCACCGCAATTGCTCTTACATAATGTCCCCACCGCCGTGGATTTTGCGTTTCAGCTTGCTGGGCGCTGGTGTTGCGGAGCTTGGCGATACCCCATGGGGTAGTTCGACCGCATGCCCGCGGGAGCTAATGCGCTGAACGGGGGGTGCACGGACGTGGGAGCGTGATAGCGCGGTCACCCCAGTAATCGACATGATGTTAATCTTAATATCAGCCTCCGTTGGGCAGTGATGTACGCCGAGAGTTTGGCAAATGTTCTTTGGATCCTCTGATAACAAACTATTATTATTTCAAACAGAGCCGTCTGTCACTGGTAATACGAGTGCAGTAAGTATGCTATTTATCATAGCGCAAAGTACCTATCATATCCTCGATATCACCGGACATGCAGTTCTACAGTGATTGAAGGTCACGTGATAGACAACATCACCGACCAACTGCGAACGCTGTCGGAGAGGCGGGCTGAAGCCTCAGAAATTTGCTTTCTCCGGACAAACGTTCGAACGCCACATAGAAATAATGTCTAGGGCTAGTAATACGGCCTTAATTTCATCGACGTTTTTATTTAAAACGCAGTGCGACACGGACAAATGTGCGGTATTGTTGAAAATTTGCCGTGTTTAAGGTGCTGGACTGTCAAGATTCAGTACGTACGGTGACTAGGATTCAATTTCCTTGATTTTCCAGAACAAATTTGACTTATTATTCGCTGTGGCTTGGTCCATATTCGGCGTTGGCAGTTCCAAATGCAACCTTAAGCCTCCTGACTGGCTGCATGCACGCTAGGAATGATTGGAAACAGAAGAATATGGTGGTCACCACTGTCAACGAATGATGGAAAGACGGTGTCCCTGAAATTATCACTGACAACCACCCACCTTTGCCACTCGGCCAACTCAACTAACCTATATGTGTGATGTATTATCTCTGCCAGTTTTTCACGTACTCTACATCTGGACAATTCGATAGCAGGAGACAGATTTTCGCAAAGCTGTAGAAAAGTCAATAAACAATAATTTTCAATACTTTTTGATCGGGCACTCTATGAGACCAGTGGGTCTAATTTGTGGCTTAACTTCTTCACTCTACCCCCTCGTAGGCTTGTAGGAATACGAGAACCCCGGTTTACTGGGGCTACGTCCCGCGTCTCTAGCGAATCAAGCCTTATGCTAGCAGCTCAGCAGTTGGTGGCGCCGCCTAATTCAGCCGTGCACACCATCATGCATCAGAGATTTCGTGAATCAGGAGAGGTTGGCTAAGCGTTGACCCCGATGCGACTAGTCACAAACGACGACAATCCTTCTGATTAGCTCACGGATCTGCACTTTTGTCAGACGGACTGAATTTGAGGAAGAATTTCCACTGGAACGTCGCCGGCCCGCATCGATGTGCGGTGCGAACGAAGCTTCCGAGGCACCTAATCATATAGACACGCGCATGGAATGTCTCGACGTGTTCCAGCAGCGGACATAGCAAGTCGCTGCACATCCTCGGTGGAGATGTTGGAAGCGAACGTCATCCATTCCCAGCGATCATCACTCTGCTATCGTTTCCAGTAAGTTCCAACTAAAAAAAACAAACACAAAAACGCGAAAAGAAAAAAAAAGACGCGACCTGAGCCCCTTCCCCGACCAATGGACGGAGCTAGGCATTGTCTATTCCCAATACGGACTATATTGGCAGCCATTATGCCCAGGTAGTTCACGATACAAGACAGCGTCGGTGCGCCCTGGCGACCAGACAGGTTCCGTCGCCATGGTTAAGTTGCAACGGCTCGCTATCTATAATACTTAGCTCTTTCCCTCAGAACTCCCACTCCCACCTACTGCACCTCAATCACCTCCAGCATCAGTATGGCGATCCCCGAAGGCCCCAAGACGGAAACCACCAGGCAAGATCTGGCGCTGGCATCGATTTTCTGGGGATTCACACTAGGTTTTGGGTTTTTGACAACATGGACGGCCATCCAGCAGACGATGGCGATGTCGCGGCCGTGGCGGTCGATGTACTTGTTCTTAGTTTGGGGCGAGCTGATTGCCAACTTTTGCTTCGGGATCTTGGCCTATCTCTTCATGGCGGACGTGCTGTCTGCGACGTGAGTCGCTGCCTCTCCTCCTGCATGCGCTCGACTAATCACAACTTCGCCGAAATGCAGACTACCTGTCATGTTCAGTATCGGTACGTATCTTTTCTAGAATCTGTAACGGCTTCGACTAAGGAGACTAGTCTTTTTCTGGTGCTTCCAGGTCCAGTTCCTTCTTCAGATCATCGTAAATCGTATCTGCGTCATTCTCGGCGACCGCCGAAAGCGCCGCTGGCTGAAACTCAGCACTATTATACTGTGGGTTTTGATCAATATTTCTGGATTTTGTATTTGGGTGCCCGCCCGTCTGGGAGTCAGTAATACGTAAGCTACCCACTTTATGCGGTAGAATACCTTCTGATGAAAACGTGTAGGTTTACGGATATCAATTATGTCTGGGACCGGTCGGAAAAAGCGGTCTACATGTTGGTGGACTGTGGCCTTAACTGGTACTTTATACGCCTTGTCAACCGGCGGCTGGTGGAGCAAGGGAGCACTAAATATGCAAGGTATGCACTGAGTTGTTGAAACACGCGTCCGCACATGGAGTTTTCTAACCTGACAGCGGTATGCAGACTCGTTCGCTTCAACACTCGTATTATTATGGCATCAATTTCGATGGATGTTCTCCTGATCGGCCTGATGAACCTTAAAAACGATTTGATGTAACTCTCAGCCAATCCGCCCTCTTCGTCTATATCACAGGATACTAATCTCCCTGTAGCTACCTCCAAGTGCACCCCCTAACTTTCATCGTCAAGCTCAACATCGAAATGTCGATGGCATCCCTGATCCGCCGCATCGCCAGCGAAAAGCTGGACACCAACTCGCATCCATCTGAGGTGCACCACGGTGGAGTCGGTGGCGCCGCTTACGGAATCAGCTTGTCGATCACGGGTGGGAAGGGTGCGGCGCCAAATAGGGCGTCAGAGGGTGGAACCAGAGAGGCCAACCTGAAGCCGGACAACGGCGTGATGGTGCACAAGTCTGTAGTGGTCGAAAGCCATTCGGCGTCAGGATGTAGTGTCGCTTCCATCGGGTCGTGTACGGA